GCAAAATTTATGTGATGTCATTTATGATTATGGATGGCCCCTTAGTATTGGGCAGGGTAAATAAATAAAATAACTATAGTTATAATAATTTAAAGGCCCTAAACTTAGACAGCACTTGACTTAATTTTGATAAGGATTCATTAATACAATTTATAGTTTTCATTAATATGATGGACTGATGGAGGCATCTGACAATTATTAAATCTAAATGACTGATTGTGATTGGCAAGTCCAATGACAATTTTTAATAATAATGACTAATGAAATGACAAAAGATTATATTATCTGTCACTGTCATTACTACTACTGTCACTGTCAGATGGGTAGTACTGACTCAATAATATTCAAGACTGTACTGTGTATTGACTATAACTATAAGATATGGCATATAGCTGCAGCTATTTGGAACCGGGTTTCAAGAGTGAGAGGTTGGGTTTATTAAAAAAATTTATTCAAAATATTATTGTAGGGTTTGTATAGTATAAATGAAAAATAATTGAATGTAACGTTACTTAAAAGTTAAACTTATTCGGTAAATTATTAATAATCTCTTACATAATGAATGATAATGATCATAAATGATGCCTGAAAAATTGGCAATGATGATGATAAAAATTGAATGAATGATAACTAGAGTGATAACGGCATAACGGCGGTCATACGCCATCTAACTCAGTAACTGCATTTGATTTTGGGTGGAGCTAGTCAGCTAGTCAAAGTAATGATGTATAATTTTCTAGTTTATCTATTTGAGACAGTAGACACATTTCCATTTTAGTTTGCACCATTTTTTAAATTGATTCGGTAACAGTAAAAGAGATTTTGGGTTTAATAACTATTTCACTTTTCTTTTTGTTTTAAAGATACGGTTCTACTAAAATAATTCCGAAATGACTACGTTCAAACGTGATTGTAAAATCAAACCTGGGAGACTCTGTACACGCTAACCTTTATAATGATTAAGTCATTTATTTATTTAAAAAAACTTTTCAAATGAATTTTAAAAACCCTTAATTTTAATTTTTCACACTTATTACTAGTAATTCCGGTAACAATATTTTTAAACTTCCGTGAGCTTTTAGATATTAATTATGTAATAATCAATCTGAAAGCCGTAAACGGAGTGCCTGCCACAAATCTAACCTATGTTACTATTGTAAATTGTAATAAAAGTAGAGTGATCGCCCTGTAGTGGGGGCTGACGAGTCAACATTTTTTTTCATTCCATAATTTTTGTGTCGGTATTTTATGTTCAGATTTTAAAACTAACTTTTAAAACTGAAGGGTATAATATATGACAATTTTAATTTCAAAATCAAACACACTTCGATTGTAATTTTGTTGATGTGAGAAAATTTAGAAAGTATACCCCTTATTTATAATAGTAATAATAGATAGTCAAAGTCAAAGACTAGTCATAGTTCAGACAGTAGAGTAGCAGGAGTAGCAGTAACTAGTAGCGTAGCGCAGTATCACTGAAGTGTCAGTCAGAATGTCTACAACAGACAACATCTAGCCTAACAGAAACATAGTAGGCCTAATTTAGGCAATCATCAGTTAGGATAAGTAGCCTTAATTAGGCCTATTAAAAATAATGAATTAGTCAATTTCAATTAGTCTCAAAATTTTTAGTTAAAATGATGGTGTGTAGTGTGTGTGAAGGTGATTTGTGGTGATGAGTTCGTTGACTAAACTAAAAGACATTAGTCTAAGTTTTTCTAGTTGTAGATTGTAATTAATATCTAAATATGAGTGTTGATAAGTGCCTTCCAGCTGCCTTGGTTTTTTTCAAAAACTGATTGTATTGAAACCTTTGTTTTCTGTCAAAGTCAAAGTTAACACATAACACAGTTTATATTTAATTTATTGGACTAAATGCAGAGATAGATAAGCAGTTGCAAAAGAGCATTGCCGTGCCATTAAGGTTTGAGGAATTCGACCTTACAATTGAAATTGGCATTTCATTTGACGATGATTTGTTACAGTTTCACAAATTACTACTCACTCTAACTAATAACAGTATTTAACTAACTTTTTGTTTCACTCTTCACTTAAGTTTGAGCACCTAAAACATTTTAAACTCCTTACCAGGCTCGCTCGACCCTCCCCCCCTCCCAATCCCTTATTAATGGACAAGCTAACAAAAGTTAGGTGGTGGATATTCATGCTGCCTTCAGAAAGATTGAATTTCAATTCTGTGGCATGTTAAGGCCTCGAGATTAAATTTTGTTGGAGAGAACTTTCAATACGTTAAATATATTTGGATTGCACAAATTGAAAACTTACCGGTGGTTAACTTTTGAAAAGGGTTTTGACTAACTCTAAAATTTTCCCCTTCCCTCTTTTAAATGTAAATACATTTCCTATTGGCTATATGTCCCCCCCCCCCTTTCCATAATCTTCAAAATGCCCCCATGTGAGATGTACTCCCCACACATTGGCAAACACTAACTTAAAATAAATGGGTTAAAGGCTAAAGCCTATATTTTTATTTACTTTCATGGGTTTTATTTTTGACAACTGTAGCTTAAATTGTGAGAATACAGTTGTTTTGCTGCAATGACAACTAATTTTTTTTTTGTTTTTTGTATAGACAACTGATTTTTAATGCCTCTCCAAGAATAGCTGCCTTATTTTGCTAACAAGTCCATTTCATCTGGCCATTTACCCTTGGCCATAATAATAATATATCTGTGGATGAGCTTGGACCTGTATAAATCGGCAGTTTCATGGTAAAGATGCTAATATCAGCATTTTTACTCACTGTGGTTCTCATGAAGGAAAAACCTACATAATTAAATAACTCTTCCATTTTCATTAAATTAATTTCTAAAACTTAATCAGAACAACAAACCAAAAATAGGGAAGTAAACACAAAATACCCCAGAACATAATGTAAAGTAAATGATTTACAAAATGTTAACTAGTCAGCAGGCCATTTCCAGCTGCTGGCCACTAAATCATAAATAAGACACTCTTAAATAAGATCATATTTTTGTGAGGATAATTTTAAACAAATAATGAATTTAAATTGCCCAAAACCTTAATTGAGACCTAACTGAATGAAAGGAAAAAACAAAATTTCAATTACAAAGCTTTGTAGTCATCTTTACAGATCTCTTTTTATGTACTTCTGAAATTCATTGTAATTATTTCCTTGTTTCAGTTCAACTGAGTCATGGATCCTGATGATTCAAACCATCTCCCATCTGTGGAAAAAGATAAAAGCTCTGGCTCTAAAAAAAATGCCAAGCCATCAACACAGAGACAGAAAAATAACAATGATGGTGGATTGCGAATAAGACCCTCAACAACCTTATCATCACAACAGAATGATAATTATGAGAATCAGCCTAATAGTAGTCAAGATATAAATAGAGAACAATCACAACCTGATGAACAGTCCAGCAGTTCTTCAAGGCTGTTTCGGACTAATATTTCACATTCAAACAATGCTCCAGTAAGAACACAAAATGCTGTAAGCAATGGTGGTGGCCACAACATTGTGAGGCCCTTAAAGAATGATGCTGTGCAAGAAGGTAGCAGTTTTCAGACTTATTCACATAGTAGACCTTTCCAGTCAAATTCAAGAGGAGGGGTAAGAGCAAGACATAGACAAACTGCGGGCACTGCTGAAGGGGAAATGCACAATGGAAATCTGACAACAAGGAAAAATACTTCACCAACTAGACAAACTGGCCACATGCGGTCTGATAAACATCATTCACCAAGGAGGAACAGGTCGAGCCCTACGTCTGTTCCGCACTTACCGAATCTAAGGTTCAACAGTCCACGTGACCCTTCTCCGCATCCTAACAGTAGCTCACCCCCTCTGGATGTAATGGGCTCTCCAGAATCACCTTTACCGCCTATGTTTTCTCACATCCGCCCTGGGCTCTACTCTCCTCATAACCCATTTATGATTGGTTTGGGGACAGAAGATAATCCCTATGAAATATCCTCAGGTTTGTGAGTCTGTTCTTTTCATTACATTTACTTAGTTAGATTATACAGGGACTTGTGACTTTCATCTTTTACATTTTTTGAAAACTGAAGGACATTTAAATATACATTGTAAAGGTTTATGTATGTGTGTTTATTCAGTATAAAAAACCAACACCATAGAGCAGGCCTGCACAACTCAAAATGTAAGGTGCACCGTAATATTTTATTAAATACTTTTAATGGCCGTAATAATTTATGAAAAACTTTTGCGGGCCGTAATACTTTATGACAAACCTGTGCGGGCCGTTATATTTAATGAAAATCTTGTTGCGGGCCAAAAGAAAATAGGACAGTGGGGAAAAACTATAACAAAAATAATAGTAAAAAAAGAATATTTCTTTACTTCACGGGCCGCAAAGTGGGTAAAGGCTGCCTTAGAGCAGTGTTATTCCACCGGGGTTCCGCGGAACCTAAGGGTTTTGTGAGTGCCAGCCAGATCTTCTGCAGGTGGCCAGTAAAAATATAAAAGTAACTTCCAAAACTGCTAGGGACCAAGTTTGGTGTTTCTTGCACTGTGCTGTAATTATTAGTTTTTATTCCACTTAATTACTGTTTCCGTTATTTTAATGAGGGCTTAGCATTTGAATTAATTTTCATAACACAATTGGTTTTTCATGAGCATGGACCAATTTATTAAGTAGAGAAAATAAGACAATGTAACAGCTGATGACCAAACTAAATTCAGGAGCAGTGGACTGAAGCTACAAGCTCGTACCACGTCATGTGAGCCAACATGCCAAAAAATTTACGCTTTCGATGGGTTGCTTAAATTTCATCAGTACAGTGAAAAATTACTTAGCTATGGGATTCACTCGGGCTGGAGACCCGTTTGGAATAGAATAAACCATTGTGTCACTGCATGGCATTCAGGAACGCTCCAAAGGGTTCCACTCCAATGAAAAGGTTCCCGATCCCTGCCTTACAGGAATCAACATCAAACGTGGCATGATCATAACTCAAAACCCAGGTATAGTTTAGTTTAAAAAATGTTTAAAAAGCCTTCACCATAACATCTGAAAGTTAAAAAAAAATTAATAGCTAGAACGTTAAAATAGGAAATTTCTCCTGCGCTATAAAATTGCCATGAATGTCGCAGCTACTTATTTTATTCTATCACAAATTAGTGCAGGCATGTTGGTTTCAGTGCATTTCTTTTCTTTAAATGGTGTACTGTAAAATAACATCTATAAGAAAGTTTAAGCTATTGATTTAATTTTTACTATCGCCAATATAAAGCATTTGATATCAATATTTCTTTAATTAAAAGGTTGATTTTTTTTTTCTGGGTTGTAATTGTTGAAAACATAGGTGTGTCTAAATATTTCATTTGTGTGACTCCATGTGTTGCCTTGTAGGAAAATAAGAAACTATAAAAATTGGATTAACCAGTATGTATAATGCACATTGTTCTTTGCTAAGCATACTATTTTTATTAAAACATACTTTTGCATGAGAAGATTGTGTTTGGGGTCTCAGGGAAGGTTCATTAATGTTGGGGTGAGGTTGTAAAAAAAAATAAAGGTGAGGGACTTGGGACTGTTACATGACAGTGAAGGATGAAAAATATTTTGGGGCTAAGGGTGAAAGATTTTAGTATGGGGGTGAGGAAGGGATGGTAGGGTATGACGGGGTTGGTGGTATTGGGGGTGAGGAATGGATGGTAGGGTATGAAGTGGGTGGCGGTGTGGTGGGTGAGGAATAGATGGTAGGGCATGAAGTATGATGGTAGGGGAAAAGTTAAGAAATAAGTTCAGCGCTCCAAAAAGAACATCACAATATGTGTAGCTTTATATCCTTTGCATTATTACACTGCTAACACCTGATGAATTTTCTATCTTCTAAGAATGTTTGTAAGTAAAAAGTCAACTTAATCTTTGTATAAAAAAAATTGTACCATTTTATTTGTATTGATTATGTTCGGTATTATGTAATAAAAAAATATTTCCATTTATTTGGATCGATAAAAGAATCTTATCTCATCTTACCTTTGGTGAACAACATGTCAAACATTTGGGAAGGCTGCCTTGCTGTGCTGACAAAATCTATTCCCCCCTCCCCCCCCTCCTGTCTTTAGTTCCACCATTGTTCCCTGTGTTGTGGATGAGCTTATATCACATCATACATTCACTGAACTGTGGTAACCTAAAGAAAGTTAGGTAGAGCTTGTAGAGTGACTGACTTGCATAGAGGCTTGTTTTATTGAGAGAAGAAGATTCTCTCATCAGCTGTGTCTTGGGTTCAAGAGAGGATTTTTGTTTCTGATCAGCTGAGTCTTGTGTTCAAGTCTATTGATGAAAAACTTTCTGAGATTAAAATTACTATGGCCGGCCATTGTCATTGCCATTGTAATCATCACTGCAGACATGGTAATTGTGAATGTAATTCTTTAAGAAAGTTTCAGAATCACTGGCTTTGTATTAAATATGCGATATGAGGATACAACAATATTAAATTGCATTTAAATGCGCCATATCAATGGCATTTTATAACTATCTGTGTTAATGTCTCTTTCAAGCCATTGTTTTGATCAAGCCTAGGTACTTAGACATATGTGGTAAATCAAATAAAAATCTAGGAGTATGTCTAACATGTTAAAAACAATTAGTTACGGGTATGCCTTAATTGAAAAGAAATCTCTCCATTTATTTTTTTTTCAACATCTACTTTAAAAAAAAAACAGATGCTAATATTTAATGTAATTAATTTTATACAAGTACTTGATAAGTAGCCAAAGGTCTACACCACTTCCTTTCATCTCAATTGTATGATTGTTCTAACATCAGGTCCATCTGACAGCACTGGCTTGTTGTCTGATGAAGAGATTGCTCGACAGTTGCAGGAGGAAGAGTGGGACGCTGCTGGCAGCTTCTGCCAGACCTCTGGCGGACTCCGCAGCCGGAGAAACCTACCCTCACTAAGAAGAGTAAGTCTCTTGCCACCGTCATTTTAGTCTTGTCCGTCCCAAATTTGAAAGCTCGTGATTTTTGTGTCATTGTTAACAGTCGCCATTTTTAAACATGAACCTTTTTATAAATTATAACCGTTATGTTGGTTGGTTGTTCGTTATTTTTTTTTTTTTATGCTTGGTATTGCACATATTGATGCCGAGGTGGCTGAAATTTGGGAGACACAAAAATAACCTTGACAGCAACACTTTGTTTCTTGCGTGCAAATTTTCATCCGTCTTTTAATGTTGAGTCCTTATCTATTTTTTTAATTCCCCACACAGCCAAGGAGCCATGCAGGAGGATACATGCATATGGGCTCAGGAGAACCCATCCCCTCTGGCTCAAGATTAGTTGAGGCATTGGACTTTGATAGTGAGCCGATAAGTGTGAGTTTTGAATATAGAAATTCAACTTTTTACATTTGAACGCAGACTCGCTTTGAGCCATCAGTTAGTCATCATGTTTTAAGCCGGCTGCCTTTGGATCTACTGTCTGCCAAGAGTTGGGACAAATCTTACAAATCATGTTGATCCTACAAGCCCTTAAAGGTTTCATTTTATTTTTAAAGCAACTGCCAGAAGGTGTTGCTCAATAATGCAATCATTGACCCATTCTGATTGGTCAGAATAGATCTCAACTGTTAACTCATGTTCTATGGCATACAGCAGCTAGAGGGCTTTTTGCTTTCTTGGGCAATGGTTATATTCTTACCATCAGTAACAGAACTTTAAAAAAATAAAAAATAATAATAGTTTCAGACCCACAATGGCAGGAAATGACAGTAACCAAGATCCTAGGTTGCTTAACGCAGAAAATGATCGTAACTTAGGCCCTGGTTAACCAATACCAGGAAATAACAGTGGCAAAGCCCTAATTGACCAATAGCAGGACATGACAGTGGCTAGGCCCTAGTTAGCCAATACAAAGAAATGACAGTCCTGAGGCCCTAGTTGGCCTGTACCAGTGACCAGTAAATGACAGTAACCAAGGCCCAGGTTTTTTGCAGGGTTCATTTATCAACCCAAAATTTTCTAATTTTGATATATTTAGTGACGTTGTTTAAAAAATGAATTAGTACAAAATATAATTTATCTAGATACTTACAACTACTGTCATAGTCGTGAACATTAAAGTAATTCACTTTGTGGTGCTCCAAGTTTTGTCTTCATCTTCAGTGTTTTCTATTCACAGTCCCGGCGTGTACGGACCAACAGAAGCGTTAGGCCAACCCGTTCCCAGTCCCGTTTCTTGTCTACTTACCCTCACCTAGACATGTTTGACCCACTTCATGTCCTGCAGACAACATTGCGGGATTCTCATGATGAAATGACACGTAAGACCAGGCTATAGTGGGGTCAGATGAATTTTTTTGTTTAAAGTAAGGCTCCCCGTTAAAAGATACAGTGTAGAGAGTGACTAAAAAACATTTAACCCCCCACACGGCCATATCTGGCCAGTATTTAGTCAACGCTGTTACTGCCAGATCAGGCCACTTGACTCGCAGTTAACATGTTGCTACATAAAAAAACAGAAATCTCGCCATTTCAATGAAAATCTCGTGATAAATGAGACTAAGTGAGATTACTTACTTTTTTTTATTACCTTTATTTCGATTGGGCAAGGAGTATTCTATAGTTTAATAGCAGATGTATTATTTTTTCTTTGGGAAAAACCGGGTTGACATTTTTACCTGGCACTGAATCTTATTTTTTTTAAAGAAATATTTGCTAAATCGGGGTACTAATTATTCGTTATATACATTATTCTGGATTTTTCTTGTATTACTTTTACTATAGCTTAAAATATGAACATGAAGACTGACGCATCAAATCTGTTTCACCAGTAAATTATTTATTCTTGTCCTTTCTGTTAATTTAATTAATTGCATTTATGGTGTTAGGGTTAGGGTCATGGCAAGGGGGACATTTTCAATGATAATTTCATGCCAAGGGGGACATTTTCAGTGTTAATTTCATGGCAAGGCTGACATTTTCAGTGTCAGTATTTTCTGTTTTTGTTTTCTTGTCAATGTCATCCTTCAGATGATACAGTACACTTTCAGAAAGGCCAAATTTCATAATAGACAGCATGAATATATATATTGGTGATATCAGATTTATTCTCTCATGGAATTGTTCAGGCACCTTCATCAGACTCAGTGCCCTTTACAGCCACTTAACTTAGGAGTGAAAATAATAGCTTAAGAAACCCTTTCCCTCCGTCGAGAGACCAAATTCCAACAGCTACCCGCCATCTACTCCTTTCCCCTTCCAGAAACATGTCTTGGCTGGAACTATGCACCGTTTCAACCCATGTTTGCGATCAAGATGCTGGATTTTCAGTACTGTTAGTTTTGGCCCCATCTGTATAAGTTGTGAAATTTTGATCTGGAAAACAAAAGAAAAAGTGTGTGGGTTGAGGGGGGGGGGGATGTTAAATCAGCCATAACTGATGAGAATAAACAGCAACAGGCATGCATATAAAATACCCACACTTTGAACCTTAATTAATATAATACACTGAATTGTACATTTTTAAAAAAAATCACATTTTTTTTAGTAATATCTTGTAATACTGTATGTAACAAATATTATATAATTGCATGTATATTTTTTTCAGCATTTATCTATGATTTATTTCACCATTATGGCATTCCTGACTTTGAAATCCAGGTAAGTCTCTTCCCCCATTCACAGTGACTTTTAAAAGTGTACCTGTTTTCATTATTTTTGAAAATATAGTTGGGGAGGGGGGGGGTGTTTTGACCAAATATGAGAATATTGATGGTCTCTATAATAAAAGAGGAAAACCAGAGTAGTGCTGAAGTCCAATACCTGTTTTCATTATTTTTGAAAATATAGTTGGGGGGGGGGGGGGTGTTTTGACCAAATATGAGAATATTGATGGTCTCTATAATAAAAGAGGAAAACCAGAGTAGTGCTGAAGTCCAAAACCTGTGTAGTGCATACAACATTTTGCACTCATATTTTTTAAATTTTAATCCTAATTCTGACCGCAGGAAAGCCAATTTAAAAATTATTGCAAATGCTTGACTTGAAGTATGTCATCTTTTAAATCTCAATGTTAATCACGTAGCTGATCTAACTAAGATCATTTGTAAAATATATCTTATTTTTAATTTTAAAATATATATTTTCAAACACTTTTCTTGTGTAGGGAACTTTTTGCGAACCCTATAAAAAATATGGTATGTCCAGTCCATTGTAATAGATTTTCAGAGCAATTGACATACATTTTTATTGGCAGACATGGTTGAATCCTGGTGCAGTAGGTGACCCAGTTTTCGGGGATTACGAGGTAAATCATATGACTAGTTTTGATTTTTGTTTTCTGATTTTTATTGGAATCCCACCATTTCTCTTATACCAGCCGTCTAGCTAGGTTTTTCATAACCATTACTTTCATAACAGAACAACCGTCTAGCTAGATCTATGGTAATCATTACTTTCATAACAACCATCTAGCTAGATCTTTGATAACCATTACTTTCATAACAGAACAACCGTCTAGCTAGATCTATGGTAATCATTACTTTCATAAAACCATCTAGCTAGATCTTTGATAACCATTATTTTCATAACAGAACAACCGTCTAGCTAGATCTATGGTAATCATTACTTTCATAAAACCATCTAGCTAGATCTTTGATAACCATTACTTTCATGGCAGCCGACTACCTAGATCTTCGATATAAAAAAAAAAGATAATTGATCTTCATTGACTATGTAATCTCAACAAATTTCCAACTTGTGCTCAATATAAACTTTGTCATAATGTGGGTCAAATCATTAAAGTCTTTAAATCAATGGCCAATGATGTGCTACTTCACACACCACCAAGGGCTGCTTTAGTTGTGTTTCTCAATGTTGTGTCCATTGAAGTGTTTCTGTCTCACCCGTGGTGCCTCAACTTTCGTGGTGTTCATCTTTCAGTTCTTCTCTTCTCACTCACAACACTCTTTATTTTTATAATGTTCAGTGACAAACATTAGCACATAGTAGGTATTGAAAAAAAATTTCTTCCAATTTTCTAGAGATTGAGTGAAGTGTTTGGAGATTTTCCATGTTTTATGGTTGGCTCCCAGACAGTTGTACCATCATTCAATTTCTTTTCAGTCACTTCTAGCTTTGGCCGAGAGATTGGGGGAGGTGAGCCGTGGATTGTCCGACTCTGAAATCAGCCAGCTGCCCACCAGTAAGCACCAGGGCCAAACGCCCGGAGGGGCTTCGGCCATGCCCGATGATCTACCTCAATGCAACATCTGCCTCACGGACTATGAGCATGGAGACAGGATGAGGAACTTGCCTTGCAAACATGATTTCCATAAAGATTGTGTGGACCAGTGGCTTAAGGTTGGTGTTTGTTGGAACATTAACTCTGTATTTTAATCAAAGTCTTGAAACCAGCCAATGTTTTGCACTGTTTGACTAATCCTCTGAAAAAATTTGTCAGAAATTCCATTTGACTTTGACTATAAATTTTTTTAAATTTCAGTCCAATAATGTTTGTTTGTCTCATTCGTTCCAGACAAATGCAACCTGCCCAATTTGCAGAGCAGAGGTTAAAAAAAAAAGATCATGACCAAAGTCAACTTTGAGATTGTCCACTGCATCCGATCTCACTCAGGAGGGATAAGGTCACTGCATCCGATTTCACCGAGGAAGGATGATGTGGAAGTAGCAAATAGGGTGAAAAAAAAATCTCAAAACGAAGTGAACATTATGAAATAGTGTGTGACCAATGAATAGAACAACTATATGTCTGTGTATTTTCACTAACTGGAACAAATTGTACCATACCTGGCTATACCAAGATACAATACGTGTATGTTTTTTCAATGACATGAGGACTGAGAGTTTCTTGTGAGCATGACAGAGCCAGCTATTTTTAAGTGACCTATATATATTAAGTTTGTGTTAAATGACAGATTAGCACTGTAACGCTAGAACTGGGGCTACCTATGTTTAAATGGCTTGTTAAGAATATTATTCCCCAGTGTTATGTAAACTTTTTTTTTGTCAGTACCGTAAATATTTTCAGTCAGTTCCTTTTAGCCCATATACCTTTCAATTTCAATATTCACTGCAATAATGCATTAAATGGGATGATATTTGTTTGTTTGACAGCCAACTCCTACAAAAACATGTGACGACATGGTTGTTTTCGTGACAGTCAACCCACACGAATCATGTTTTGTTTGTTTTATGACAGCCAACCCCTCCCAAAAACATGTGATGTTTTGGTTATTTTCGTTACAGCCAACCCCTTAGTTACCTCTACATTTCGTACACTGGTTCCTGTTCTTTCTTGACCAGTTTTCAACAGTTTGCCAAACAGTTAAACAGACTGGATTTAATCGCAAACCATATCTAATGTATGTCTTTTTAGTGGCTGAAATTCTGTCCCCTTGTCTACTGCCTTCAGTTGTCTACTGCCGGAAGTTAACTACCTTAACATGTTTTAGAGATTATCAACACTTTAGAGGGGCTTTCATATGCTACTGTGAGAAGTTAACTACCTGGACAAGTTTTGGAGATTATCAACACTTTAGAGGGGCTTTGGCTAGTCTGATGATCCTATTCTGTTTATAGTTGATGCCAGATTTCAGCAGTCTCAATAATGGGCATATCACTGGTTCAGTAATCTCTGCACACCAAACATACTTCATATATCTCGTAGATATTGTCTATGTATTGATATTTCATATGTGAGCTCATGTTGTGATCAAGTTTTTTTGGTATCTTTTAAAGCTCTGAATTCCAGTTAGGGAATCTAAAAATGTGTATGGTTGTTATGTTTCTATGTGGTTTGACTAGAGAAGATTTCTTAAATATCAAAACTACAAATGAATTTATGCTCAGTAATATTGATGGATACTTCCTTGTAAAACCATGTGTTTATTGTATAAGGCTGTTTAAAAAAAATTATCTTGTACCGGTTAGTTTGTAGGAACCATAGGGGGGTTTTTTTGGTTGTTTTTTTTTTTTTCATTACTGACTGGATGCACATGTCCTAGTGGTGGCTGATAGTGTAACATTTATCATCATTTCAAAAGGAATACTAGAGTGAAATGTTTATTGAATGCCTTGTGGATTTTGAGGTGTTGCAAATTTCTATGTAAATGTGAGGTGTTGTGTAATGCAAGGTGAAATGTGAGATGTTGTGTAATGCAAAATGAAATGTGAGTTTGTGTAATGCAAGGTGAAATGTCAGATGATGTGTAATGTAACGCAAGGTGAAATATCTGATTTTGTATATGTGCTTGTACGCAAACTATTTGAATTTTCTAGTTGCAAATCACAAACTAATATTTTACATATAAATATGTTTCTTTTTTTTTTTTGTCTTTTAAATTTAATTCACATTATAACTTTTATCATTACACAATTTACATAAATATATTTTTGGATGATGTTTAGTTGATGTAAGATCTTTTTTCCCTATCTAACCAAGTCATCATTCATCCCTGCCTGTATATTATCATAGGCAAGGAGTAAAGTCTAATTTTTTTACTCTTTGTAATTTAAAATGTATCTTTGTAAAGGGGATTAATGTGAATATTACCAACATTGTGCAACCAGAATTTTTTTTTTTCTTGTAAGGGGGGGGAATGTTTATAATGTTTTTTTTTTTTAAAGTTTGGGTAACACATCTTTTTATGTCAAGATTAGGTTAAATTGTGAAAAACACACAAAAAAGGTGGACGACTGTTTATCAGGGTTTGCTGATTTTTTTTTTTGGAGGCGCCTCGTTCGATTTTTCTTCTGGTTAGGGGATAGTCCCTTGGGACACATTCCCTCCCTTGGACACTTTACGCTCTCATACACATTACTCAATCTAAGTAAGAAAATCGGCTGCACACATTTCTTCTCTGAAGTTCAATATTTCCATGTCCTAAATGTTAAATTAACTTTTGGGACTCGCTGATCTTCATTCAAGATGTTATGTAGTGAGGTGTTTAAAAAAAAACGTACTATACTTCAAACTTTGCAATTGGAAGAAAATTATATTGAGAACGCCTGATATTTTGCGAACAATGATTTTAGGATTTTCTGACTGAACCGATAAATTTTTCAAACCCAAATGTCAAATTATTTGTGACTTCTTGAGAAAACCCCAGCATCTCTGGTTTGCACACAATGATATACAAGTTTTTTTTAAAGCCTAGTTTTTCTCCGTGTTAGAGTTTAGCAGTCAATTGTCTTGTACAACTTCTCACATCATTTGCATTGTCTCCAGTGTTAACTCAGCAATGTGTTCTGAACTATTGTCACGGCTGATCTGTCATGTGCATCCCTTAAATATATTTGTGTCCATTTCATTTACGCCTTGTCAGTGAATAATAAACTTTCCCAATTTGTCTCAGTGTTTGTGTTTTTTTATGTTTTAAGCAGGAAATAGCGGAACTAGGAATGTCAGTGGCGTAGCAAGGGGGCTGCGGAGCTCACCGGGTGACACCATCCCCAGCTACGCCACTGAGGTATGTTGAAGCTTGAAGTGAAAGAACAGGACAATAAAAAGAGAATGTTTCGGCCAAAAGCCTTCTTCTGCAGACAAAACATTTTTTAGTACAAAGTTACACGTTATTGCAGATCAGATAAACATTTGTAAAAATATCTCTTAAATTCTTTAGTATCTACTTACGTAATGCATTATGTTTATATTTCTGAACAGAAATTTATAACATAGTTGCTTACTCTCAAAATATTTTTTTAAAGTTTAGAAAAATGAAAAGAAATTCGTTTGCACAGGAACACGATGCATCAATATTTAGAAAATTAACCACTTATATAAGACTAAGAAATACGTTTTCATAATGGTCAGAAATGGAGTCAGTAACTAGTATGGGGCCGTCCATAAAGTACGCCCCGCTCCGGAAGGAGGAAAAAAAAGGGCGGGGGTCCACATTTCTTTTTTTTTCTCCATAAAATAAAACCTGAAATTGACAGTGATGTTAAACTTTCTGTGGTGATGGATGTATCCTTACAGAATATTTAACTGTTACACTTTTAATAGTTCAATAGTAAAGTGTGTATTAGATTAAATTTCAATTAGGCCTAGTTGTTCTTTGTTTTTATTTTATTTTTTTAAGTTCGAAAGTGTGTCGGACCTGAGATATGTGACGGTGGAAGGGAAAAGGGGGGGGGGGTATTTTTTCCCCCCAAAATGGCATACATAGTGTCGCCCGCTAAAAATCCTTGACAACAAACTTAACATTTACATACGATTTGGCGCTAACACCAAAATTTAATTTGTCTTTAAAGTTTAACAATAAACACTATGATGAGTATTTGAGTATGACTATTAAAAAAAAAAGAAATTAGATTTTTGTATTGATCTTTTCAAAGTACCAACTGTCACAATATATGACCCAATTATCTCAAACTTGTTGAGAAGTCAATAAATTTAAGAGTTACTGTAAATCATTTCACAATACTGGGATAACCATATTATTTATTATATAACGCCACGCGATGTGGCAGATTTGTGACCCCCATCAATATTCCCTTTAAGCTGCGCGGCTACGCAGCCATCTCACAGACGCCGCGCAGCAGTTTTGGTTATCCGCGCAGCAAATTTCCATTTAAGTGTGGGTTTGTTGGTTGTAAAATTTTGTACACAAAAAATTGATGCTGTAAAACTTTGCACACAACTGTATGATTTTGCACGCGAACCAGCAAACCTTAGAGGGATCATTGACCCCCATCCCCTTTTTTCCCACATCATCGTCACAAATTTGTAAAAAAAAATTAGACACCAATCAAAACATCATCACAAATTAGTAGGAGCCCCCCTCCCCTCCCCCAACTTCACTGCGCCTAAACATGTGGACGTTACGGAAGGGCCATATGAACAGCAACGTTGACATACACTTATTTAAACCCTTTTTTCCCACATCAACATCACAAAATTGTAAAAAAAAAGTAGACACCAATCAAAACATCATCACAAATTACTAGGAGCCCCCCCCCCCTCCCCCAACTTCACTGCGCCTAAACATGTGGACGTTACGGAAGGGCCATATGAACAGCAACGTTGACATACACTTATTTAAAGTCCACCCGTCTGAAGAATCAGAGGTTTTTTCCCCTGCCTCTGCTACTCTTATTCGCCAAGAAAGCAGAAAGAGTCGATTCACTATATTTGGTTAGTGCACCAAGTACACAGCTGGTGGCACTATGGCTGATCAGCAGGGAATAAAAACGAAAGTTCCAAGAGGAGTGCAGTATTGCTGTATTTGTAACTCATATCGGGGGAAAATAGTCGAAGGAAGAACTGTTTCCTTACACAAGTTTCCTCATTACCCTGAACTAAAACAAGAATGGATGAATCGAGTACGTACTGTGATGACAGCTGGCATTAAGGAAAAGCCTACGGCAAAGGTTACTGCTCACAGCAAATTGTGCAGTGAGCATTTTTTGGGAAAACGTGGACCAAAACGCCCCCACATCTCATTGCCATCACTGTTTCCAAATATGGAATTTGAGATTACATCTGTAAGTTGTTGTTTTTCCCATGATGTATTGTAATGATGACTAATAATTAAATAAATGATATTTCGAAATTAAAGAGTTTCAGACAATGACCGATCATTAATTGATCAAATTTTCAATAAATGGTGGTTTGGCGTGCCATTTATTTCCCATGCCACTGCTGAAATCTTGTTTGCCATAACCTCAAGTGTTCTTTCATGGCAACCAAGCTGACAGCCATTTAAAAAAAAAAAAATGAGTGCAAACACAGGCCTGCTTTGATGGGAAGGGAAAAAGTGAGAGAATGTTTGGCTATTTTTACCGAAAGAAATGAAATTAGGCTGAAAAAAAACGTTAAAATTTAATTTAAAAATTCTGCCAGTTCATTAATTTCGTGGCGAACGAAGCTACCGGTACTTTATTATATCCCCCTACTGTAAATATGTAGCATTAAGTCTCGGCGACCTGCGCCCCCCCCCCTTTTTCTTGGCATAATTTAAGCGGGTACATTAATTATTTAATTTCATGTCGAGCGAAGCAACATTCTTGCATTTCTTTAGATATTTAGCAAGAAGTCTCAACAACCATCAGTCGCTCCCTTCCCTCAATTAAAATATGTGATTGTGGCTACAGTTACACACTGTTGTAATTCAAAGTGCAAAAATAAAGAAAAACAATATAAAATATTTTTTAAATAATAAAAAACCAAATTACAGTTGCATCGAATACACTTTGACATAGTTGATTGCAGGTTCCAGCAAACATAGAATCCAAAAGTTGCCAATAAATTAATTGATAGTCAATAAAGTTCCCGTTATCCAAAATGCTGGAGGATTTAAACAGTATAATAAACCACCCAATGAAAATATAATTTAAAACTTAAAAAGAAAAGTTGACTCCAGTAACAATCCAAGAATAAAGAAAAGGGAGAGAATCCTAGTAGTCTTACACTGAAACTTATTGTGGTGCACTGAACCAACATTAGCAGAATTTTCATATGATTACTAATTTAGACCTGTTTACCCCCAAACTTTTAAAATCGTACAATATCATCAAAAAATCGTTCAATGTTTTATATTAATAGTTAAAAATAAACATACAGTATATATAGGCCTAATACTAATGTATAATAATGTATACTCCTCAAAATTGTACATTGTACGCCAAAATTGTAAGAGTAAACAGGTCTGCTAATTAAAATTTTAATTTATTTTAGTCTTCAGTGTGATTTAAGTTTTAAATCTACGTTTACAACTTCACTTTTAAAATGATGATGAAATTCATTATTAGACTATTGCTCTTGTAAAGTATTGTTACTTGAGTAGAGACTATGGGTGTCTATATAATTTAGGGGAGGGGGGAGAAGCAGTTGCTGCCGATTTGAGTTGGGGAAGGAGATAAAATTTTCCACGCCTGCCTTTGCGCCTGAAATTTCTCTAGGTAGTAAAATTAATATTGGATAGAAAACTATTTGATTATTAAATTTTATAAATTATATTTTTTAATGAGGAAAAAAGGGGTGGGTTTTTTTTTGTTAAGCGAAAAAAGAACAGGTTACAGGAACTGCTCATTCCTGCCAAAGACAATCAGGGACTGCAACAAGCTTTCCAAAGGAACTGTTGAGGCGACAATACTTGACACATTTGCATCTATTGCCTCAGGCCTTCCAACCCCCCGCTCCTGATACCCTCGCTGAGTAGCCATTGCAACCAGTGAAATATCCTCTTCAATACCAGGGAAAGAAATATTGCGAATCCCCTTTACATAGATAGGAGCCATAATTATCAATACATGGTCTTAATGGACCCTTAATATAAAAATAAGAAGTCTATATTATTGTTATACCCAACAATTTTTTAATGAATGAAAACAAAAATTAAAACTATAAGCCTAATAAAAAAGTAGTTTTTTTTAAAATAATCAGAGAATTTGGTATTATTTGCTGAAAATGTGAAATAGTATGGATCTATCAATTTTTATTAATTATTAAAATGTCAACAATATTTTTTTTTAAATTTTGATTGTAAATTTTTGTGTTACTATTATTCCTATGAACTCCTGGAATCAAACACCATTGTTGTTACTGGCACCCACACTACAAAATTTACAAGTTCAAGGTAAATGTAATTTTTTAAAAGTTGAACATATATTATTATTAAATTTAACTAAAATGGGCAAAGTAAAACATATAAATATGCATAGAATTTTTTTTAAGTCATTAATAATTGTAACATAAAGATTAGACTAAAATAAAATTGTACTGGTCATTGGAAAAATGTGTATATGTACTTGTTGGCTTTGTTAGTATCTTTGGTAGGTCGTTTCACAGGTCTTTGCAAATCCACCATCTACTTTAGGGTCTAACCATGATTAGCTCCAACTGTCGAGTGACAGTTGTGTGTTTGTCCTATGATACTTTGTCATCAATGCGAAGACTTCAGAATGAAACTTGTAAATCACTACTTGTAAAAATTATGAGCAGCGGTTGAAAGTTACCAGACTTCAGATTTTTTATTACAATTTTATTTATTTATTTAACATCTGCTTTGTTGGATCTTTCACTATCTGGTGGATAGATGGGGGTGGAGGGGAGATATGCTCTATGCATCAAATAGAGATGGTTAGATTTATTATGAATTTTTTCTATTTAACACCCCCCCCCCCCTTTTCCAACATAAGATAATGTATGTGTATGATCAAACACCTCAGGTTCCAATGAAATCCTCAAAAAAACTTAGCATTGATAAAACAGCTGTCATCATCTTAGACAAGGTCAGTTCTATTTATTGATTCATATCTTATCCCTTTAAAAGATTGGTACACGTATATAATATTTATGAGGAAAATGTCTCAGTACTTTTATTGCAGACTTCAGTTTAGACCTAAATTATCAGTATCCCTGAAGTTTAAGACATAAAATACACACCCCTAGAGTCTATGACACAAAATACACACCCTTGGAGTAGAGACCGACCGAAAGTGATTTTCTAATTTCGACCGAAACTGAAAAAAGTCCGAAAGTTAAAAATGACTTTCGGCCGAAAGTTAAAAATGACTTTCGGCCGAAAATGAAATTTAGATATTTTGAAACTCTTTCCCACATTACATTCTGCATACATCAAAAATGATGGGAGAAAGTATAAATATTTACATTCTTTTTATATAAAATGAGATAATCGTGAATATTAATAAATAAACATCTAATATAACATCTTTTTGTTAAAGATCGCTTAGTTTGTTCTTAAAGATCGCTTAGTTTTTGTTTAAAGATATTTTAGTTTTGTTATTAAAGATCATTTAGTTTGTTCAAAAAATATCGGTAAGTTTTTTCTTAAAGATCCCTTAGTTTGTGTTATTAAAAGATCGTTAGTTTGTTCATACAGATCGCTAAGTTTTTTCTTAAAGATTATTGATTTTGTTCTTAAACATCGCTTAGTTTTTCTTAAAGATCATTCAGTTTGTTCTTAAAGATCATTTAGTTTGTCTGTATAGATCGTTTAGTTTGTTATTAAAAATCGTTAAGTTTGTTCTTAAAGATCGCTTATTTTGTTGTTGAAGATCTCTTAGTTTTTTCATCAAGATTGCTTAGTTTGTTCTTATAGATGATTGATTTTGTTCCTTACGATTGATTAGTTTGTTCTTAAAGATCTTTTAGTTTGTTCCTAAAGAACATTTAGTTTTCTGTTAAATATATCTTAGTTTATTCTTGTAAATCATTTAGTTTACTATTAAAGATCATTTGTTTTGTTCTTAAAGATCATTTAGTTCGTTCTTAAGAATCGCTTAGTCGATCTTTAAGATTGTTTAGTTTTTTATTAAAGATCGATTAGATTGTTCTTAAAGATCGCTTTGTTTGTTTTAAAGATCATTTAGTTTGTTCTTAGATGTCGCTTAGTTTGTTGTTGTATATCGTTTAGTTTGTTCTTTAAGATCGCTTAATTTGTTCTTAAATATCGCTTTATTTGTTTTTAAAGATCACTTTATTTGTTTTTAAAGATCGTTTAGTTTGTTCTTTAAGATCGCTTCATTTGTTCTTAAAGATTGTTTAGCTTGTTCTTAAATTTCCCTTAGTTTTTTGTTAAATGTCGCTTTTGCTGAGAATTAGATGACAGAAAACCTCAGTCACTTTCGGCCAGATGGCCGAAAGTCTAAGTCAATTACGGCCGAAACCGAAAAAACCCAAAAGTTAACTTTTCTCTTTCGGCCGAAACCGAAAAAAAAAAAAGGTTAACTTTTCTCTTTCGGCCGAAACCCAAATTAAGCCGAAAGTTAACTTTTCTCTTTCGGCCGAAACCCAAATTAAGCCAAAAGGTAACTTTCAGTTTCGGCCGAAACCAAAACTTGGCCGAAAGTGATAAAATGGCCACTTTCGGCGCCGAAACCGAAATTCGGTCAGTCTCTACCTTAGAGTCTACAACACAAAATACACACCGTTAGAGTTGGCCACACAAAATACACACTCTTAGAGTCTAAAGCACAAAATACACACCCTTAGAGTTTGCCACACAAAATACACACTCTTAGATTCTACAACAGCGGTTCCCAACTTGTGGGTTGCGACTCCTTTGGGAGTTGAACGACCCGTACACAGGGGTCCCCTAAGACCATAGGAGAACATATTTATGAAGAAGCAACAAAAATAATTTATGGTTGGGAGTTACCACATGAGGAACTGTATGAAGGGTCCGGGCTTTAGGAAGGTTGAGAACCACTGGTCTACAAAAAATGCTTTTAGTGCATCCTCTGATACACCAGCTATCTATCTTTGTTTAAGTAACAATTTATATCTGCTACTAGTCAAGTCTCTCTCTCTCTTTCTCTCTCTCTCTCAATTACTTAACTTTAATGGAGATTAAATTATCTTATGAGGCACAGAACAATGCATTATAGAACAATTCATTACAGAACAATGCGGTACAGAACAATTTAGTACAGAAAAATGCGGTACAGAACATTGGGTCAAAGTATGATGCCCAGATTATTTATTTATGTCTGCTTTATTGGAAAACCTAGTTTCAAAGTCTACATACATTACACCGTACGTCATCTTATGATGTTATATTATTTATTTTGCTGTGCTACATCTACATACATTATACTCTACATCATTTATATGATGTTAGATTTACATTTATTATTATTATGCTACATCTCTCCTGTTTTATAAGTTCCAGTCAGATTCTGAAAAGTTGTTCATTTCAATTCAAAGGACTGGATGTAAAATAATGCTTAACCTAAAAGGAACACGTGAAAGGATTTTATTTTTAGTGAACTTTACAATGGTAGGAGTACTGATATTTTTTAATAATATTTTTTTCACAGAATGTTGAAGACACACCAGATATTATCTGGATCTGGAAGCATGGTCATTTCTTTGATAATGCGATAAAAACGAGACTAGGAACATCTGTCATGTTTCATGATTATTGCGGTAGAATAAATCCTCATACCATTCATCAGAACAAATTAAAATGTGGTACACAAACATGCTCAATTAAAGAATGTGCAGTGCATGTACAGACACCAGATGACCAAAGCAGCTCTATAGAACTAAAATTACAAGATGACCCAAGCAGTTTAGAAATAATGCGCAATATAAAACGGGAAATAGAAAATGACCAAAGTGATTCTTGGATGATGTCTACTATAAAACTTGAAACATTGGATGACCAAAGTGATTCTGGGATGATGTCTACTATAAAACTTGAAACATTGGATGACCAAAGTGATTCTGGGATGATGTCTACTATGAAACTTGAAACATTGGATGATCAAAGTGATTCTGGGATGATGTCTACTATGAAACTTGAAACATTGGATGACCAAAGTGATTCTGGGATGATGTCTACTATGAAACTTGAAACATTGGATGATCAAAGTGATTCTGGGATGATGTCTACTATGAAACTTGAAACATTGGATGACCAAAGTGATTCTGGGATGATGTCTACTATGAAACTTGAAACATTGGATGATCAAAGTGATTCTGGGATGATGTCTACTATGAAACTTGAAACATTGGATGACCAAAGTGATTCTGGGATGATGTCTACTATGAAACTTGAAACATTGGATGATCAAAGTGATTCTGGGATGATGTCTACTATGAAACTTGAAACATTGGATGACCAAAGTGATTCTGGGATGATGTCTACTACAAAACTTGAAACATTGGATGACCAAAGTGATTCTGGGATGATGTCTACTATGAAACTTGAAACATTGGATGACCAAAGTGATTCTGGGATGATGTCTACTATGAAACTTGAAACATTGGATGACCAAAGTGATTCTGGGATGATGTCTACTATGAAACTTGAAACATTGGATGACCAAAGTGATTCTGGGATGATGTCTACTATAAAACTTGAAACATTGGATGACCAAAGTGATTCTGGGATGATGTCTACTATGAAACTTGAAACATTGGATGACCAAAGTGATTCTGGGATGATGTCTACTATGAAACTTGAAACATTGGATGACCAAAGTGATTCTGGGATGATGTCTACTATAAAACTTGAAACATTGGATGACCAAAGTGATTCTGGGATGATGTCTACTATGAAACTTGAAACATTGGATGACCGCAGTGATTCTGGGATGATGTCTACTATGAAACTTGAAACATTGGATGACCAAAGTGATTCTGGGATGATGTCTACCATAAAACTTGAAACATTGGATGACCGCAGTGATTCTGGGATGATGTCTAATATAAAACTTGAAACATTGGATGACCAAAGTGATTCCAGGATTGTGTCTACTACTACTACTACTACTACTACTACTACTATACAACTTGAAACAGAAGATGAACAAAGCGATTCTGGGATGATGTCAAAAATAAAACTTAAAACAGACTATGACTATGACCAAAGCAATTCAAAGATGATCCCCTCTTAACATATGGAAACATGTTATGATGAAAGCAGTCCTAGGAGGATACCCACTATTATATGGAAACACATGATGATCAAAGCAGTTCTGGGATGATGCTCCCTAACAATTATTTTTATTTGGTTGGTTTCTTTTTTAATTCTTATTTTTGGCAAATTTCTTCATTTGAAATTTAAAAAATTAGCCTGGATTATAACAAAAAATAAAATGTAATTTTTTAATAATAATTAGCACATTTTTGTAAAAAAAATTATAAATTAATTTCTGGCGTTTTGTTTGAAATTTGTTTTTTGCTTTATTTGCTTTTATTGATGGGGGGGTTGGTAGAGAGGTTACTGATACATAATATTAGGGGGGTGGTCAATGTAATAATACATTAGGAGGTGGTTTTCAACTCCTAAGTCTACTTGGATTGATTAATTTGTCAAGTTCTTTCACACCTTGAATACGTCGTACTATTCTTACTATCACTGAATAAACTCAAGTTCTTTTCATAATAATTATAACTTTAATATTTAAGTACGGTATATTATATACACATAAACACATGAATGTAGCTCAGCTCTCTAATCAGACATAAATAATACACATCCTACTTCTACAAAGTTCCACTCAAGACTACCGCACCACTAAAACTTGCTCACAATACTGTCTAGACAATAGTCATGAATCAGCATAAAAATACAGAGTGAAGCCGGGAAGAACGTTCATTAACTAATTAAAACTCCCAAACACATGTTGCGCGTAACGAACATTATATTCAGTCGCAACAAGTAGGCCTATCAATGAACTCCCATACTTGACAGTGGTCAATGGAAATGTAATATAACATTATATGGGATAAGGAATGGATAAAAAATGTTAAATTTTTGTGTTATATATATGTGCATGTCCCATATTGTTGTGTAAAATAATAATAATAAGTGTATGGCCCATATTTTTGTGTTATATAATATGTGAATGGCCACCCACCATCAAACGCTTTTTCTGCAAGCTTTTGTACTTAAGGACCAGGTCATGTAATATGACTTTTTCTCGATTAGGTCGCCTGTAGCCCAATATTCACTTGACTGCTGTTTAATGAGAATGTTGCCCTCATTATGGAGAGATCCTAATGATCTTCTTAGGATACCAAGTTAAAATTCATGGCTTTCCAAGTTCTTGAAAGATTTACAAGATCATTTGGAATGGGAAAAAGAAAAAGTAATGGTACAAAGCAAAAAAGATACCAGATCAGTCAACCTGACATGTCTCAAGACACATGCTGATGACCAGTGTGTTGCGAAAAGGGGGTGGGTGTTGAAGTGGGTTCTTGACCCTTGATCTAAATCATTTTTACTTGTCCATCGTTAAATAGCCCTACCATACACAAAATAATATATTTTCTCTCCCCCACCCCCGCCGAAAACCTTTGGTCTACATCTGTTTTATACAATTTGAACTAAAAATGGATAATAAAGTTTAATGACCTATTGTGTCAGATCTTGCAAGCATAATGTGCATTTACTTTTGTGAATTACAAGTTCCAAGCTAGGAATTTAAAAAAAAAAAATTGCAGACAGGATTAGATGCTGTTGTTAGAGGTTGTAACTTTGCAGTAGTTTTATTTTGAATTGGTTAACACTTCACATTTTCAATGCAATGTTGCCCATAATTTTGCAAAATGTGTACCGGGTATTGTGGTTGTGTACTAATCACTATTTTGTTGTCCAATTAGAAAAACATATAACCCAAAAAACAGCAATTACTTTTTCCATTTTGTTGTATTGTATAAGGTACCCGGTACGTAAATATAATTTAATGTTTAACATTTTTTTTTTAAAATGACTTTGTGGTACCACATACTGATGTGGTTGAAGAAAACTCTGAGTTTAAATTTTCGTTGCCCAATAATAAATTACATTGGCTGAAGCTGAGAGTGATCAGGACCATGATGATGGGAAAGAATTTGACAGTTTAAACAAGTTTTTTTTTTTATTTCTATTTTTTTTTACTGAGTTTCGACTTATGAATTGTAAGTTTCATTACAGTATTTAATGCTTTGTAGTATAATAAATTACTTTATAAAAAATTAGGATTGTCGCATTTGTTAATTTTTTTTACTGAATATAATTAAATATTATTAGAAATTAAACCTGGACAAAATTGTAATTTTATTGCACTATTGCAGCTAACAATAGTTTGTTCTATTCCAAGCGGTTCTCCTGCCCAAGTGAACCCCATGCAGCTAACAATAGTTTGTTCTATTCCAAGTGGGTCTCCTGCCCAAGTCCAAGTGAACCCCATATCTAAGTCTAAGTAATTGTCACTGTACTGACGAACTTTTAGGATCGACAATATCAATTTTTTGGCACGTTCGACTCACATGACGCTGTAGCTTCATCGTCTGCTATGTTTTAGTTTGGTCCGTCAGCGGTGGCATCGCCTGGTTTTCTCTTCTTAATAAAGAGGTTAATGGTGGCGCAAATATAACTGTGTGATGGAAAATTAATTCAAAGGCTTATTTACAGTACTTTGTTTAAAAGAAAAGTCATTTCCTGAGTGGAAACGCGTGGGAAGTCACTCAAGTCCACACCCCGCCCTAAATAAATAAAATATGTCTCTTCTTTAATTATATTTTGCTTCTGGTACGTCTTGCTTCCTCTTCAACGCAAACCAACTCCACATGTTTTATGTTAATAGTAGGCCTACTGAGTGAAAAAAGAGGAATGTCACGCAGCGAGCTTCATAGGTGACGTCTAAACCCCGAACCATGGTTGATTTTTTTTTTCTTTAGGGGAGGCGACTATTCTTCGGTGTTGTTATTGTTCGCGTTCCTCTTTCGAACAAGCGAGCTTCATACGTAATGTCTGAACTCCGGTAAATAGTTTTTTTTTTCCTTCTTTAGAAAGGAATTGTTATTATTTTTTTAATATCACTGGTTTTTCACATCTTTATTATGGGGCTGCACGTAAATCTTTGTTATAAAATGAACGACAATATCGTCTTTGTCGACAGGTTTTTGTACAACGTCATCACTACTTCGTTGCTAACACCTACTGTACCGTTACCGTTACACGAACATATAATTTATGTAGTATTTCAGACAGACATTTGGAAATAACAATTATTTTTCTTCTAAGGCGCCCACGTGCAATGAATGCTTTTTCATATTTTTCAAAATCGGTCAGAGCCCTATGCTATGGGGCGCCCCGGGCAACTGCCGAGTTGCCGGTGTCTTGGACCTACCGGTATAAAAAAAACAAAACAACTGCACCCAGTTAAGCCCTGTTGAATTTATTTCTTAGCAAAAAATGTTTTTAAAAATATCAATGACATAAAGAACACGATATATTTATTAGTAAATAAAACGATTACCGTAATCTCGGTATGGGATTTTCCCCAAAGATGATTTTTTTTTTCACCCTACTTTCAATTTCGCTTTCAATTTCATTCATATGATAATATGCTAATAATATTATTTTTATTTAATTTAGTATGAGTCTACCGTAGATCGGAACTTTGTCTTATGAGTTGTCAGTCTCTGCTGATGGCGTCTTTAATTTTAAACACGTCATTTCACAGAATTCAATGTAATAGGCTACTGGCTACTGACTTTAATAATAATAATAATAACATTAGCAAACATGCTTATACTTATCTGAGTTATCAGACATCATAATCAGATTATTACTATTACTTAAGTATTACTAGTCTATACTTAATTATTAATAATTATAGTGAGTATACCTTATAGTGAGTATAACTTATAGTATATATAATTATAATATAATACTACGTAGTTTATTTTAGAAGTAGTAGTAGTAGGCCTAATAATAACTAATCATTAAATCATGGCAATTAAGTCGTCAATTACGTTACTTATATTATACTTTGAATGTTACTGTGCAGGTTTCGCAGGCTATATTTTTAATTTAACATCAATAATCTAGGCTGGATGTTTATTATGTAAAAATTTATTTAAAATCATGAAATTAAAAAAAAAAAAGTTTTTGTCTTTACATGTCTTTACTTTACTATTAGCTTGGCCGAATCATCAACATTTTTATTTTGTCTTTTTTAATAACTTAAATAACTTAAAGCAGTAGTCAGTAAAAGGGTGTAAATGTTTTTTTTTTAATAACTTAAAGCAGTGGTCATTACAATGGGGTAAATGACCCAAGCCCAAATGATTTATGAAGTAAAAGTGGAATTCTTGGGGTTGATGGGGGATCAATAAAAATAAATATAAAATTATAATTAAAAGTGTGTGTGTTTTTAAAACAAAATAATTTAGTTCTGGCACAAGTCATTATGGCACAGTCACCTATTTTATTTATGCCCAGTGGCATCACTAGAGTTGTTCCTGCTGAGGTAAACTCATGGTGTTAACCCATTCAGACTTCTTCATTGACCTCCTTCCAGTCGGCCTGATTTTACCACCTGTTCCAGTGGTACTCTACTCGGACAGGTGGCACCCTACTCTGACAGGTTGCACCCTGCTCTTGTCTTTTATATGTGTTATGAAACTGATTTGATTGAGCTCTGTCAAATTTACTATTTTTCATTTTGTGTCATCTCCCTGTAAGGGCGTCATTCCTCTGTGAGTCTAGTGAGGGTTTCATCACCCTGTGATGTTGTCCTGGGTGCGGTCAGCACACTAGTAACGTTACTGCTTATGCTCAAAAACATCATGAGATACAAAGATTTTCTAAAGATCCCATATTTGATGTCACTGTATCAGAATGAAAAACCATTTATACAAAATTTTAAAAAGTGAACATATTTTCAAAGAAATCCTTTTGTGCCATAATGAGGATTTTATTAATTTATTTTTTTCTAATTATTTTGTAATTTAATACTTTTTTATTGTATTCTCCATATAAATATTTCAATAAAACCAATTTGAATTTAAATATTCTTTCCCTTGTTTTATTTTCTTGTAGATTCCAAACTTTTACTAACTGAAAGTAATATTAGTAAAATGTGGCACTTAGACATATGGTGATTACCAGTGCTTTTTTTGTAAAAAAAATAGGTGCCGGTACTCAGTGATGGATTGCCTAACTTTTAACAACCAGTTCGCACCTTGATGCAAGATAAATCGCAACTGCAATATTAAAACAATTCAATTTTAACAAATTAATAATATAATAAATTAATAATAAACGTTAAAATACAAGAAAAGTAATAATTTTTTCCCCACATTGAAAAAGGTGCCGGTACGCCGTACCGGTGCGTACCGGCACAAAAAAAGCACTGGCGATTACCATGTACCAAGGGTACCTAAAAAGGTTTGGATGGTCTTCACAAAGTTGTTCACTGGAAAAATGCTGTCAACCAATTTTGTCACAAGATGTTACAGATAAACAACATATATCTCTAAATCCATGCCAACATTCCAGTGCCGGATTGACTTATATGCCAAATAAGCCTCACAATCAGCCGACTATATATTTAAAATTGTTCTTTGACCAGCTGAATTAATTTAAATTAGTAGGGGGGGCCTCTGGTCTTTATATAGCTCAGGGCCTCAGCAGGTCTAAAAAATCCGGCCCTGCAACCATCTGTAAATTCACGGACAGTCCGTTACAATTTAAAAATAAAATAACTTGCCTTTAAAGACTTTATGATGCCCGTAAAAAATAAAATAGAGACATATTCAAAATGGCTTAGCTTTACATTTTAATAATCATAAACAGGAGAAATGAAACATTTGTAAAAATTAAGATTAAAAATATTTTTCAGTAAATTTGAGTTGGCAGCTCTGAAATGACATGCCCTTAGAGAAGGAAAGAAAATAATAGAGAGTACAGGGGGCAGGCGTGGGTGGATAAAGGGGAGTAAGAGTTTGGTTGAGAATACATAATATTAATTTTAGTGTAAGAAATAACTGTGGATAATTTTTTATTTTTTTATTTTTTTATAGGTATGATGGGTATACCTTCTTTGTAGACTATAGCTGGGGGGAGATATCAGTTTTAAATGTCTCTCAGACTAACTTATCTTTATTTTCAAAACAGGTTGATACAACACAAGCACCATGTTGACAGACTTTGAAATAGCTTTACAACTGCAGTGGGATGAAGATGATGAAATGCACGTCAATAGTGAGGTTATTGCTAGACTTTTAAAAGAGCAAGAAACTGAAATGTTAAATACAGCTACTAATGAAGAGATTGCTATATTGATGCAGCAGGATGAAGTGAAGGCCGCCAATGATATGGTTAGGAGCCACCAGCTAGCATGGCAACTGCAAGAGGAACAAGCCCCTCCACAGTCATCAAGCAATGAAATCTGGCCAGGGGCAAATTCAGCCGTTTACCAGGATGTAACCAGATGCCATCAGATGTCTCATGAATTGGCATTCAATCTGTTTAATCCTCAAAATGTAAGTTTGTTACATTATTATTAGCTATTATGTTTTTAATGGTTTGAATATTAGGTATTCAGTAATATTGCCAACCGCATTGCTTGCTCATCTCCATGTTGTCTTTATGGAAGGTGATGGGTTGTGCTCATTCTGAGCCCTATAATTCTGTGGGTAAGCCCTTTTCTCCTAAGTTTTTGTGGCCACCAAGATATATTCCCCTGGGGGATCATATGGCCCACACAGAAAAACAACTAGCTGGGAGATTTCAATTTTAAAAATATTCTTTCAGATACAGGTGGAAACAGTATATGCCACAAGTAACCATGCACATGCAGAAGCATTGAGGAAGCAGATGGAAAGATCAGACGAGGCCAACAGTGATGCCATAGCCAAACTGATCCAGCAGGAGGAAGCAGAAATTGCAGAAGCAAGAAGTCTTACCCTGGCACTGCAGCTCCATGAAGAAGAGCTCAGAAGAAGACCAACAAATGACAGAGAGAGATCCACTGCACCCCCCCACCCTTACGGGAGAAGACCTATTCACCAGCACCGCGTTCCCACATCACAGGTGCTTATCTCAATTATTTGATTGTAAAATAACCGGTTCTTTATTATTTTTCATATGATTGCTTTGACGTGATTGCTAACATTCGTGAAATATTTGCTTTAAATATATAAAAGGTTACACCCCCCCCCCCCACAAAGTCATCACTAAATGTTAGACTCCCTGCTCCCCCTTTTTTAAATATCATTTAAGAAACCTTTGCTCTACAACTGCCAAAAAAAATTTCGATTCACCTAAATTTCAAAGTTCTTTCATTGTCATCAAAGTAAATTGTGAAATTAATAACTGGGCTGTTGTCATATTGTAAATTAAATGTGCTTCTGTTTCCTATCCAATATCACTCTGTCCACTCCTGCCCTGTCCACTATTGCCCTATCCAGTACTGCCCTGTCCACTACTGCCCTGTCCACTACTGCCCTGTCCACTACTGCCCTGTCCACTACTGCCCTTTCCACTACTGCCCTGTCCACTACTGCCCTATCCACTACTGCCCTATCCACTACTGCCCTGTCCACTACTGCCCTGTCCACTACTGCCCTGTCCACTACTGCCCTGTCCACTACTGCCCTATCCACTACTGCCCTGTCCACTGCTGCCCTGTCCACTACTGCCCTATCCACTACTGCCCTGTCCACTGCTGCCCTGTCCACTACTGCCCTATCCACTACTGCCTTTTCCACTACTGCCTTAACCATTTTTCATTTTCAAGCTCTTAAAGATTCCTATCCCATGGACAGGCCTATTGGATTACTGCGTCTGTGTCCGAAACATTTCTCTCTTCATCATTGTGTCCCAAACTGCGCGCCATAGTGTCCTGTGGCTCCCTCATAAGGGTGCTGTATTATTTGAAAAAAGAAAATCATATAAAAATTTGCCATTTCGCTGTGCACTTGACGCTAGGCGCCATGGGGGGGGGGGGTGGGGGAACCCGGATGTGACAAGAGCACCTTGACTCTAAATAGTTTGGGAACTTCTGCCCTAGAACATTTCTAAGTTCATTTTTTTTTTCTACTAGGCGCCATGGGGGGGGGGGGTGGGGGAACCCGGATGTGACAAGAGCACCTTGACTCTAAATAGTTTTGGAACTTCTGCCCTAGAACATTTCTAAGATCATATTTTTTTTCTTTCCCACTTTATTATGGGGCCTTTTTCTTCTTCCCTGTCACCTACGTTTTCACCATAATTTATCCAGCCTGGCAATGGTCACTGCCCATTTGTCCATTGCCCTCAGATCCATCCCATAAATTGATCTTCAGAGACAGGTGGTCAGTTACTTACTAGTGAAGGGCTACCACCAGCTCTCCACAGTACTAGTTCACTCAACGCTAATGATGGTGAAAACATTGAATCAAATAGAATTAAAAATCCATAACCCAAAAGGAGTGAAAATTTACAATTGAAATTGGTTAAAATAAATTATGATAAAAATTACTGTAATTCAGTGCAATTTTTTTCAATTAAGCTTCCCTCTTTTATGTCACTTTGCTGAGCTCCTCTGCCCCCTCTCAAAATTTTTCATCATTTATGGGTGTCCCCTTGGCTAACTCATTTGAAATGATAGCTTTCTCCCTGCTAATATTTGTAAAATGATTGATTCGTCAAATGTTATATTTGTCAGCTTACATTTTCCATATGATGTAATGCTGTTAGCTTAAGGGAAATTAAACACCGCTGTATTTTTTTTAAAGCTTACATTTTCTTGAGATTATGCTATGCATTTGAAACTTTAAGATTTGTTTTGGTAAGCATTTGGTATCAAGGCCATTGGTTACAAAGTTGTTTTTAACAATTATAATAACAATGTCTCTTAATATTATTTGACAGAATTCTAATAATGGCACAAGATCATCATCATCAAGATCCTTGGGGTTCCCTGCAGGAGGTTTTCCCCCCAGAATGAGGCTGTTGGTGTCAGAATTTAATCAAGGCCATTTTGTCAATAATATCAGTAATGGGGAATGTAAGATTTTTATAATTTTTGTCAAAACTTGAGGCTGAGAGAAATAGCAACTTTCACTGAAAATTTGGTTCTGAGAGCACTTTCCTAGAAAAGTTGGCCCTGAGAGCAAACTTTCATAGCAAAAATGACTCTGAGAGCAAGTGTAACTTTCCTTGGAAAATTGATTCTAATGAGAGCAAGTTTAAATTTCCTTGAAAAATTGATTCTAATGAGAGCAATTGTAACTTTCACTGAAAAATTGATTCTAATGAGAGCAATTGTAACTTTCACTGAAAAATTTATTCTAATGAGAGCATTTGTAATTTTCACTGAAAAATTGATTCTAATGAGAGCTATTGTAACTTTCAAAGAAAAATTGGCCCATAAAGAAATTGCAACTTTCATTAAAAAATATGCCTCTGAGAGCAATTGTAAATTTCTTGTAAAAAATGACAGTGCGAGCAATTGTAACTTTCATTGAAAAAAAAAAATGTGTTAAAATTTTTTTTTAAAATTTAAATATTTTGTTTATAGCATTACTCAACTTAATTATTTAAACTATTTTCAGCATTCTTTCAAGGTATATCCCCTGGAGTAGCTGGCTTGATGGTAACAGTTTATTTTATTCATTATTAAAGAATTATCTTATTTTTCCTAGCCTTGTATTACAATAAAATCTGAACCAAGGTTCAGAGGTCATAAAAATGTAAGTTTATCGGGGAAATAAATTACATACAACATATTTTTCCTCTGTCCGACCGAGTGAACCAGAAAAGAGGATTTTTATAAGGACTTGACATGTCACCTACTATCGAGTCATTGTTGGTATATGTTTTATAAATATACCTTAGCAAAGGAAGTTCTTTAGGAAACCAGACCTCAATCATTGATTGGCAACGTGCACAAAAATAATAGAAGAAATCACTTTTTTAGTTGACAAAGTAAGCCATTCCCTCTGCCAAACACCAACCACCCCCCCCCCCCCCCCCCATAAACAACAAAAAACAAAACAACCCACAAACAATTCACAGCACAGTGTTTATCTGTGACTTGACATTTTTGGTTAAATTAGAAGTCTACCTCCAACCACTGTGGTTGGTTTAATCATAAGTCTAGTTATAACCATTCTGTCTCATTGTAATGCAAGTCTCCTTTTCAACACTTTCTTACCTTGATTTTCCATTCCGGGTACAAGTCTTAATAGTAGGGAGAGTAAATCGTTGATATCTTGAGTGTGGGTCTTTTATAATTAAACCTTTTCATCATCATCATCATTCAGTTCCAGTGGCCATTTGTGCATGTGCCCTTGGGCCAAATTTTAACTTTAAAAAAAAAAAACATGATTCATCCTTTCAATAACAATTGCATTATGTCATGAATTCAATGGTCCCAATAACAATTGCATTATGTCATGAATTCAATGGTCCCATGCAACTGTTTTCAGATGAGCAACATGACAATGATTATGAGGTAATTTCTGTCACATTTAAAAAATAATTTTAAGTCATTTTTTTTTACAGTGAATGAAAAATTGCTATTTATAAAGCTTATCTTTACCACCTGTGGTGAAGTTAATGAGGGGAAAGGATTGAACCAAATAATTTACAAAACTCCTCCACAGTGATGATTTCTTGTTACATTGTTAAAACTGTTATTTATTTCTCTGCTATCAGGCCTTGCTGGCATTGGCCGAGAGCTTAGGCTCAGTAAATTCTGGCCTGACCCCCTGTGAGGCTGGCATGCTGCCAAGTCAGATGTGTACAGCGCAGTCAACCCCCAGTGGGGCCTGCAATATTTGCCTGTGTGACTACTCCGTGGGGGATGAAATAAGCACTCTACCCTGTGTCCATGCATTCCATAAAAATTGTATTGGCAAATGGCTAGAGGTGAGTTGGTAGTTGTCTAACATATTTAAATTATTCAAAGTTATTTTCTGCTTGTTTGATTGAATCATTAAAAAAAGTAATATATTTTACCTACTATTTTATCATTGGCTCTATTACCAGTAACGGTAGCTGACAATTTTTTTAGCTAATTATTACACTATTTCTTCAGCTTTCCATTTTTAGCTTGTTTTAAAGGTTCCCAATTTTCTCTTGAAGTTGTGTGTGAAGTCAGTGCAGACATTAAATTAGTTTAGAGTGTGCACTTAACATTTCTTAACTTTTATGAATTATAATTACATATTTCTAATAATTGACTGACTGCATTCAAGCTGTGTAAATGACGTATAAGAACAAGGTATGTTAAACTTGAATTAACAGACAGGACAAAAGATTTGGACGTTTCGGCTTAGAGCAGCTGTTCTCAACCTGTGTGTCGCGACCCCTTTGGGGGTCGCGGGACCCTTTTCCAGGGGTCGCCTAAGACCATCTGAAAACATATATCCTTACAGCTATGAAGTAGCAACGAAAATAATTGTGTGGCTGGGGGGTCGCCATGACACGAGAAACTGTATTAAGGGGTCGCGGCACTAGAAAGGTTGAGAACCACTGGCTTAGAGCCTTCATCCGCAAACCAAACAAACAGAACAAGTAACAGAGCACAGTAAACCTCCAACGTTTTTTTACTGTGCTCTGTTACTTGTTTTACTTCTATTGCAGTAAGGGACATATAGACTTGCCGGGGATGTGAACCTCTACCTCATGTCGTCGGCAAGCTTCTCCTGTGTCTTACTGACTGTGCCTCCCTCCCGTTTATGTTGGAATAGGCAACTTAACTAATATCTCAATACAGTATTTACATTTTTTTATTTTTTTAAAAATCTTCTTTTCTTTACAGCAAAGTGCCACTTGTCCAGTCTGCAGATCAGATGTCAAAATTACACATAATTAGTAATTATCATTCATTGCCTATTTTCCATTAGCTCATTTGTTATTTTAATCTTTGACTGGACTTTTCACTTAAGTTGAGTTGTATTATTTTAATCTTTGACTGGACTTTTCACTTAAGTTGAGTTGTATTATTTTAAGCTTGGTGATTTTCTTATTTCAAATGCCATATTTTTATTAAATATTAACTAACTTGTATTATGTATGATTATTGTAATGAAATATTAGAGAACGACCAACTGGTATTGTTATGGTTATTATTATATTGAAGTTTTCAAAAACTTCTTGATGTCGGGTGAAATAGAAATTGATGAACTCTAGGACCGAAATTGATGAACTCTAAGACTGGGCTCAAACTGCAGGAAAATTGCATTATTTGGCACGTATCATTTTAAATGTGTCACCCAGACCTAGGAGACAGAAAATATTTTTGTTTTTTTACTCCCATCGTTTTGAATACATTCCGGATAATTAGTTAAGATGATGTCTTGCATACCACCATGGTTTTTTTGCATCGTTTTCTCACAGTACCTTTCGTTGGTTCAACCTCAAGTGTTCCTTCACCTGTTCACCATAACGGTAATACAGAATGCAATATATTGTATATATGTTTTATAAGCATATTTATTTATTTTTTTTTTCAAATGAAATGTCCACTTTTGGATGAGCCATTTTACAAATGTCTTTTAATGACACCACTATTAGACATGGGCTCAGTTTTTTTTTTAAAACTATTTTTTTAATAGGATCTGAAAATGATATTTTGCCGTTGTTTGTAGAGGCCTTATTTAACTGACACTGTCAGTTCATGCAATCGTTAGCTTTTGTTTGTTCGACAAGATTTCAGTGCTTTCCAAAGTGGCGGCCTGCGGGTCTGTAAAGTTGGCTCAAATTTAAGAGAAAAGAAGAGGAAGAAAAACAAATTGTTAATAGAGAGAGTGATAGATAAATTCCTGTCAGGCAGCCATGTTGAAAAGTTTGGAAAGCCTCGGTGTAGTGTATCGTCCACAGTTTGAGTCTCATATACAAGACCAGCAATATTCCACTCATTTTTATAACACTATGCAATTCTTTGACCAGAATTCAAACTACATAAACACCTTTGGATAATAACTTTACAATAATAACAGGTTATACCTCAGTCTCCACTGGTGCTTTCATATTAAAATATCTTTCTAGCATAAAATCCCAGTTGAGTCATACAATTTTGTCATGTGATTCTGGGACAATGTACATCACCAAATGATTTTTTTGTGTGTGCAAAATGCTTGTAATTTTAATGTTTATAACCAAAATGAAATTTTCAGTGAATTCCATTGATGTTCGTTATCTGCTTAAAAAATGTACTCATGAACCAACATTACATTTTAATGCATAACCAAAAAATTACTATGCTGGTTTGAATATCATTTTACCTTTATTTATATCACTATCCTACATCATTTCATCTCTCATTAAACTTAAACAGAAAGGGCTGTTGTGAAGGTGTTGTGAAAAACATTATAATCATTTTGTAGTGAAAAGTTTATAAACAAACCACGCCTCGCTTCTTATTTAAATCTTTTAAAAAAATGTTGTCTCTCGCATTTTCAGAAACATTTGACACTTCTGTCATATTTCTTCTAGTATAATTATTACGAATTAGACCAACTGTATTAGATAACATTTTAATTTTGACCAAATACCACAATTATTGCAATCAAAAAAGAAACAATAGGTCTTTGAATAATTAATTATGCATGTTTTATTAAATGTTGTAGCAAAACTACAGTTAAGACATAAAGCTGTAATGATGGCATGTGGGTCTTCTTGCACATGGGCACACAGGTATTTAAATCAAATAAGAAAACAGGCCTGTCTATGGTCATGGCACCTTTCAGCATTTAAACATTGAGAGATTTACCAGTCTGTAGTGAAGTAGACTGCATATTATTATTACAGGCAATTAGATATTAATTGGAGATCTTCAATGAATTGGATGGGAGACAAAATGCCATTGGAGATCTTCAATGAACTGGGTGGTAGACAAAAGGCCATTGGAGATCTTCAATGAAATAGTGGATATTCATTGGATATTAGTAAAAAAATGTTTAACATGTACAAGCCATTAAATATCTTAATGTGTTGGCCAGGATTTCTTCCCCCTCAATTTTTCAATCTTTATACACAATTTTTTAGAATTATCTTTGCAATGTTTGTATAAAAAATACAAAGTACATTTTTTAAAATAGATATATTAGTGAATATTTTATGATAATGTACACCCATTTATAGGACCCATACATGAGGGCACAAAAGTATATCAGGCAAACCTGATGGTTGTTGACATGCCATCATCTGCCTACATGACAGCTCTTTACAGCAGTGGATCTCAAGGTGCCTGTCATGGCACGCAGTGGGTGTGTCATGGCACGCAGTGGGTGTGTCATACACACTGGGTGTGTCATGGCACTCAATGGGTGTGTCATGGCACGCAATGGGTGTGTCATGGCACGCAGTGGGTTTGTCATGGCACACAGTGGGTGTGTCATGGCACACTGATGTGTCACAAAACATTAAGTAACTACTTGAAGTTAATGGACTTTTTTTTTTCTTCATTGCAAATTCTAAACTCTAAAATGAGTTCGGGTATAGTTAAAACTTATTTACATGTTTTGAGGTTTGCATGGTGTTGGCGTGTTGTCCTTTCATCTTTCTATTAACTTCCCCATTTCCCCAGCAGTACTTGAATAATTTAACTTAAAGCCCCATCTTTAAGTTTGTTTACTGCAGCATTAATTTATGCACTGTTGTTAAGTGCACCAATGTTAAGTGCACCATTTTTGAGTGCACCAATGTTTGGTGCACCATTTTTGAGTGCACCATTTCTTAGAGCTCGAATGTTTGGTGCACCAATGCCTAGTGCACTGTTGTTTATTGCTTGTTTAAAAAATAATAATAATCAGTGGAAGACAGACAATAAAATGTGGAACAAAAATAAATGTTGCAATTCTAATTATTCATAATAAGTTAATGTGACATCAGTGATAAAACTTTTCATATGATGTAATTGAGCCATTAATGTGAGTGTGATGTTAGATGATGCACGGATCCCATAACTTTTATAAATAAAAAAAAACAACACATAAATTCCTTAAAATAAACATGGATGACCTAGAGTGAAAAGACATTATTTTTTGTAGGTAGTCAGTGTATATAGCAAACAAAGGCTTTGACTGAAGTGTATATAGCAAACAAAGGCTTTGAGTCACCTTGACTGAAGTGTATATAGCAAACAAAGGCTTTGGTTGAAAGAGTCAGGTTTAGAGCTTAAAATGGACACACACAAATTATCAGCACCTTATGTTTATATAGAAGCTACTCACGTGATCTTTGTTGATCATCTTCAATTTCCTGTATTATTGTCAACTTTTATTATATGTACAATATTAAAATAGGGATAAAAGTTTTGTTCTTTCTTTGAATGAAAAATAAGTTCAACTTCTTTATTTAAAAAGAAAAAAAAAAAGTTATAGATGTTGTATGATATTTAACAAACGCATTTTAAAAAATACACCAGCCACCCCCTGTGTCTTGTGGACAGATATGGCCACTAAACAGTAGGCCTACACAGTGACATAAGGACAGGGAATTTTGGTGAGGACGACAGAACAAATTAAATTATAAAACATCTACCGAATCTGTGAGTCAATGGAGCAAGGGGATCCCTGATTTAAATTAGTGAGAGGCGCTGATGTAAAGTCAAACATTTTATTGTGATCCACTGGTCTAAGACCAAACATGCTATTGTTGACTGAAGCAGCGGGCGGGGGGGGGGGGGGGGGGGGGGGGGGTTATTTCTCCAAAGTCTTGTTGTAAACTGATGGTCGCCAAGATTCACAGTTTAAAACCATTTAATCATCCAATGTTGGCATAAAAAAATTTGGATGCATTTTAAATTAAATGAAGAATTTATTTAAAGAGTGTGTACAGTGATTCCCTAGATATGAGCGGAGTTATGCTACTTTGCATAACGTTGTCATATTAACTCGGAATGCACAGTTATGGCAATACAGATTGACAAGTTTAAAAAAAAAAAAGTTCTTACTGCATGTATAACAATAATTTTAGAGAAATATAAAAAAGGGGGGTGGGTGGGTGGGGAAGAATGACCCTTTCATGCAAGAAATTTACAATGGCTCTTTGCAGTGTAAGAAATGCTCTTAGTAGTCTAACTACCACAACCCTTGAATGAATGTACAGACTAGCTTCTATATTTAAGTCCATTCAAATAATGTCATATTGTTGAAGCAATTAATTAATTGATCAGATTTTTAAATTAAATATAAAAAATTTGACACTGGAAGATAAATTAAAAAAAATTTTAGTCCAATAAAAATTAAATTTTACAAATATTTTAACAAACTATTGAGAAAATACAAACCAAGCTTGTCAATATACAAACTGTGCAACATGAAACCATGGAAACTGATGGAGCAGGGGGGGGAGCACCTGTACCATTGAAACATCTGGATTGATTAGGTCACATAGCAATCGTGCAATTACATTGTTCAATAATAAACATTTGTTGACAACTCTTGAAATCATTATTACAACAAAAAATATATTGAAAAGCTTACAGAAAAACAAAGTTCAGTGAATGTCACAAAGAACAAAAATAATTCATTACTTTACGCATTATTGGGGGAAGGGTCTTATTCAGACTTGATAAATTTCTTAAAATAGAAAACGATCATGATACTTAAACAAATCTAATGAAAGACATGGAAAAGTCATATTAATGAATTTACATGTGTTGTCACAGGAAATATTCAAGAAAGGATTGGATAGATAAGTTATGAAGCATTCTCCCACTGTCATGAAAGACTGCTCCAAGCTCAGGTGGCAGATAGCTCAGTAAGAACTGGACACAGTGGGGGGGGGGGGCGGGGAAACATTGGATATTTTTTTAACAGTGGGACTTTGTTGTGTATAGATGTAAAGAGGTTCAATAAATAAGGGGGCCAAGAAGTCACCGTGTGATTGACAACTGGCATATCTGTACAAACACAAACAGATTAAAAAGTGATAAATTCAACCAGGGGGGGGGGGGGGGGGGGGGGGGGGGGAAACATTGGATATTTTTTTAACAGTGGGACTTTGTTGTGTATAGATGTAAAGATGTTCAATAAATAAGGGGGCCAAGAAGTCACCGTGTGATTGACAACTGGCATATCTGTACAAACACAAACAGATTAAAAAGTGATAAATTCAACCATAGCTGTCTAGGATAAATTGGCTGTGAACACAGCCCATCACAGATACTCATTGTTGTTCATACAAATAATACGATATTCCAACATAACAAAAAACAACTGGTCTCATGATCCCAATATGAAATGTCATCAAAGAATTTAGGAAAATGGGAAATCTTTTTTTTTTTTAAAGTCTCCAAAATTATGTTCACAATTGTGACCAAAAAAAACAACTAAGTGTATCTGCAAATACTAATTCTACATAAAAACAATAGATTAAACGTAGTTGGAACATTTCCTTTACAAAATATAGCCTAGTCACACTTGTACATTCAACAGAAAGCCACTATAACTGAATATACCTAGGGACTCTGGCAAACATTAAACCTGAAGTTCCTACTGATAGCAGCATGAAAAAAAATTGAAATACCAGTTTCCAGCATCTAGAAAAATTAAAACTCTTCTGTGTGGCAACAATTATTGAACTTCCTAACTGTGTCATCCAGCAATTTAGCCAACTTTTTTTTTTTAACACATTAACTTAGCCACCCCGTCATCACTAAATATAGCCATAACAAGCAATTTAGCCACCTTTTTAACAAGTGAACTTAGCCACCCTGTCTTCAAGCCACAATAAGCATTTAGCCTCTTTTTTAACAAGTTAACATAGCCACCCTGTCACCAAACCACATAACCATAACAAGCAATTTAGCCACCCTGTCAATAGGCCACTTGTCACAAATATAAATGAGTCACTCAATCAGTAACGACTCAATCAGTTCATTCAAAAAAAAAAAAAAATACATTTTCAATAAGATAAATTTGTTTATAACATGGAATGTTTGGATAAGAAATACTGATAGGAGTGTGACAGTTATAAATAGACTAGTCATAGCCCGCCAAACAATGGTTGAGGCAATCGGTGAACTTTTCATCTTTCAAAATTACTTGACAAAACACATATTCAACTAACGCACTTTATAAGAATACCAGTTCGTGTCCTAGCCCCCTCCCCTTCCTCCTAGGTATGCCACTGCCCATTTTTTCCCCCCACCTCAAAACTATATTAACATTCTAATGTCCCATCCACTTTTACCACCGAATTTGCACACCAACTACTTCCATAACATATAAGTAAATATTACGCACCAAACCTGCTTGCAGTATTTGTAAGAATCTCATTTAGTG